TCATGTTGCTGCTGATCTGTTTCATGCTGCTGCTGATCTGTTTCATGCTGCTGCTGATCTGTTTCAATGTGGCTGCTGATCTTTCATGTTGCTGCTGATCTGTTTCATGTTGCTGTGTTCATGCATGCACATCTGCTCACACAGACTCATGTTTGCTGCTGTTCAACGTATTGTTTTTATGCCATCAGTGCTTAGTGTATATTTAGTTGATGTTTTTCTTAGTTCATATCTTAGACCTTTTTACTGTTTATCTTTTATATTTTATTGTTGGATGCAACTGGGACCCTGTGAATATAATTTTGTTCCACCACATGTACCACATGAGGAAACTCTGACTCTGACTAACACCTGACAAGTCAAGTCACCTTTATTTATAAAGCACATTTAAAACAGCAGCTGTTACCAAAGTGCTTAACAGTAAAATCAATGGTTGTAAATTAATGGAAAAAATAAAAGCAATGATAGTAGTGATAAATTAATTAAAAGCACTAAAGAAAATAAGACACAGAACAAAAAACAGTAAATGAACTCGCAGTGTGTGAAATGCCAGAGAAAACAGACGTGCTTCTAGCAGAGACCTGAACACAGGAAGGGGGGGGGGGCTGCATATTGTTCAAGTTTGGAGCCCATGAGTGAAAATGCCCGATCTCCTCTGAGCTTCAGTCTTGTTTTAGGAACAGCCTAAAACAGCTGATTGGATGATGTCAGAGCCCGAGAGGGAAGGAGAATTATTATTTTTTTATTTTTCTTGGGTTTGCCTACCTGAAATAAACCCAGTTTGATCCCCATCAATCAAATGGTGCAGTCTTTCCTCCATCCTTTTCACCAACAGATCATTTTATAATCCTGGTTCAAAACACTAAGTGGTCTGTAAGACTCACATTTTGTCAAATCCTTCCCCTCCTTGGGTATTACTGAAATAGTGGCCTCCCTCCAAGACGGGGGTGAAACACCCTCCCTAAAAACAAAGTTAAAGGTTTCAACCATCATTGGTGATAACTGTTCCCTAAATGACCTGTACCATTCCCCTGGGAACCCACCAGGTCCCAGGGATTTACTCGGTTTTAAAGAGGAGATAACTATCAATTTCCTCGATTGAAATTGGTTTAATCAGTTTCTCATTATGCAATCTAGCCAGACAGGGAAGATCCAGCTGGTTTAAAAATGTGTCGACTCCACTAACATCAAGTGGTCATATAAGGATCGGGTTCGCCCAGCTGGACTCAGCCCGAAGGAGAAACATGGGTTTGCCTTTCTGTGGACCCACACCAGCAGGAGGGGCCATACAAGTCGGGTGCATGATGCCATGGGAAGTGGCTGAAGGAGGGGACCTTGGTGCTCTGACCCTGGATTACCAAAGCTGGCTCCTGGGACATGGAACGTGACCTCTTTGGTGGGGAAGGAGCCTGAGTTTGTGCAAATTTGACTAGATATAGCCGGGCTCACCTCGACGCACAGCATGGGCTCCAGAACCAATCTCCTTGAGAGGGGCTGGACTTTAATCCACTCTGGAGTTGCCCATGGTGAAAGGCGCTGAACTGGTGTGGGTCTACTATTGGCCCCCCGACTTGGTGTGGTGGTGTGGATCCTCGCTGATGTCGACGGTCACTTTGATGTGGGCCAGTGTTTCAAAGTGTTTTGGGACCATCGGGATGAGGGCTACTGTCACTCCTTTGATTAATGCAGCTTAAAACATTGAATGGATTGACTAAAAGAACTGAGGGGATTTTAAATAAATAGTTCATCCAACATCTCTCTCTCTTCGATGTCCTCCTGCACCTGGGCCGAGCCTCGTTCAGAACCGGTCCGCCTGGTGGAGGACAGCTCCTTCTTCTTTCAAGAAAAATAAAAACTCATCTGGTTGTTGTGTGATCGAAGTAAACACAAACTAACATTATTAAGAACATTGATTTACCTGCTGTAAATCAGCTATTGATTATCACGGAGTAAAGTCCGACATCGTCGACTCTGTTCTGGTCCACTCAGCGACCGGTGTGGAGCTGTTGGACGAAGCGGTCCCGCTTGGTGTCAAATCTGTCGACTCTCATCCAGAATCCAGCTTTAACTTGTTGTTAACTTGTTGTTAGCTGAGATTTTAGTCCAGAGGAAAGGAGCAGACTGAGGCAGCAGCATGCGCATTAGGTGAAGGTGTAAAATTCACAGCGCCATCTAATGACCCGGCATGGAAACTACAGCAGATTCAAGGAGGGGGGGGGGGGGATTCCTCTGGATGCATGTAAACACTAAATCCGTCCGTGTCAACGCAAATCTTTTCCTCTAATTAACATATGAAAAAACCCTAAGTTTCCCCCCATCGTGTCCGTGTAAATAGGGCCTAAATAAGGTTGAATAAAATACATGAAAATGCAGGAAATGGCATCTGTTACTCAAATTTTCTGTGAGAGGACACACACCCCCATGATTGTATAATGAACTTCAGTCTCTGATGGTGTCCAACCAATCGCCCAACCCGACTGACAGTTGACCTTTGAACTTCCTTCTATAAATTAGTAGAATGCTCAATAATCTGTAAATAAAATTTGGGTCATGGTCAAGAGGGGGATTTTTTAAAAATGAGGGAACAAATGAGGGCAAGGAATTTTGGAGGGTGACTTCCTGTAGAAAACTGTTATGAGTGGAGAAGCATGACCACCACAACTGGGCCGTCTCCCCCACCACCAAACCTCATACCAGCACCTCACAGATGCACACGTGCACAGGGAGAACCCTGGTAGCAGTTGCAAATTGCTCTTACTGAAGCAACGTATATCTTACATGATTGTCCCCACGCCGTCATTGTTCAGTAGAGTTACTTGAATAAAACTTGAATGGAATGATGGAACAGAACCTCAGTATCCGACAGCCTCTGCTGGCTTCTCTTGCTGCCAGGCACCATCATCTGCTCGTCCATCTCCATGTCGCTGCCTCCGCTGTGCTGCGTGTCACTGTTGTCGCTGCTGTCTGGGCTGGCAGCGGGCGAACCTGTAACAACAGGCACATTTACAGACAAATCACTAACACTGATAAATGTTCAAGTAAACTGTGAAGAAAACCACAAACCAAGGTTTAGAGCAAAATAATTATCTTTATGTGCCTTTTTTTAATGAATCAAATCAAACTTCAGTGTGTGACAGAGAATTTAAATAAAAATAATCAAACAGTTTAAAGAAAAGTGTGAACCAAGTTGCTCATAAAAACTCTTTAAATGTAAAGATATATTTTTAAAGTACAGGTTCTGAACAGAAATCCTAAGTTAGCACTCCAACATAAAAGATAATGGTATTACCAGTATTACCGGACCGGTAATATTTTATAACATTTTACAGGCAAGAAAATGAGTTTAGAGGAAGAGACGAAGCAAATATTTCTGTGAAATTATTTCTGGTTGTAGACCATGAGCTGAAGTCAAACAGGTTAGAATGTTCCATATTTCACTCGGCCCAGTGTCGTTGTCCTGTCAAAGATAAATATTTAGTCACTAAACTCAAGCGCACACGTTAAAATGCCTCGGAAAACACTGGACAACTGTTTCCAGAGGGTTCACACAGAGAAAAATCCAGGCCGACCTTTTTTGTTCCCCATGGGAATGTTTGTGTTCAGCAGAGAGGCAAAGGAGCTCTGTTTGGAGAGCTGGGCCTTTGCTGCGAGGGCGTTGTTCCACAGAGCCTTGATCAGCATGGAGGCCAGGTACAACGTCTGAAAACAAAGAACGGCAGGATTTAGAATCCCCAGGGAACACTAACAACCAGGAGGAGAAGTTCAGACTGTGTGTTGTTACAGGACCTGCTCGGTGTGGGCACTCGGATGCAGGCCGGACACCAGGTTTAGGACGTGGCGGAGAGGCACGGGGTCCAGGTTTTTAATAAGTGATGGGAAAAGGTCGTGGATGTAGCGGCTGCAGTGTTTCAACTACGGGTAAAAACAAGAGGCTTGAGAATGACGCACCACTTCAGTGTCCAGCTAGTTCTGCTGCTTTATCAGGTTGAGAGCAGAAAGACGTAGAGCTTCGAGTGGCTGGATGTGGTCGGCCTCAGCAACAAACAGTTCGGAGGAGCAGAACAAACCTGCGTGCAGTCATGTGAACAGCTGTTTCATCTTACCTGAGCTGCGGCCCAGATACAGTCTATGTGCTGCGTGCTGAGCCGGCCCTCCGCAGCCAGGAAGTTCAGGATCACTTGGCACTGTTTAATGATCTACAGCACACACACAAGCAGCAGGAAACAATATACAGCCTCATTGTTCAGGTAACCAGAGGAGACAGTGTATATATTGTAATAAAACCTCCCCACAGTTCTTACCTCAATGTGCAAATTTGGACCGAAGATGTGCTCCACCACATTGTTTTGGATCAGCCAGTCTGCTAATTCTTTTGCTATGGACCTGAAAGGATTAATGAGATGCTCAGTGAAGTAAAACACAAATGAACCAAGACTCAGCCCAAAGACTGGAGGGGGTGAAAAGGAACACACCTTTCATTTACTCTTTTATACGAGACCAACAGATTTATCTACATGTGGGTATTTTTTACAAAGCGGATTCCAAAAAAGTTGGGACACTAAACAAATTGTGAATAAAAACTGAATGCAATGATGTGGAGGTGCCAACATCTAATATTTCATTCAGAATAGAACAAATCACAGATCAAAAGTTTAAACTGAGAGAATGTATCATTTTAAGGGAAAAATCTGTTGTTTCCAAATTTCGTGGCGTCAACAAATCCCAAAAAGTTGGGACAAGTCCATTTTTCCCACTGTGTGGCATCCCCCCTTCTTCTTACAACACTCAACAGACGTCTGGGGACAGAGGAGACCAGTTTCTCCAGTTTAGAAATAGGAATGCTCTCCCATTCATGTCTAATACAGGCCTCTAACTGTTCAATCGTCTTGGGCCTTCTTTGTCACACCTTCCTCTTTATGATGCACCAAATGTTCTCTGTAGGTGAAAGATCTGGACTGCAGGCTGGCCATTTCAGTACCCGGATCCTTCTCCTACGTAGCCATGATGTTGTGATTGCTGCAGAATGTGGTCTGGCATTATGGTGTTGAAAAATGCAGGGTCTTCCCTGAAAGAGATGACGTCTAGATGGGAGCACATGTTGTTCTAGAACCTGAACATAGTTCTCTGCATTAATGGTGCCTTTCCAGACATGCAAGCTGCCCATGCCACAAGCGCTCATGCAACCCCATACCATCAGTGATGCAGGCTTCTGAACGGAGCGTTGATAACAACTTGGGCTATCCATGTCCTCTCTGGTCCAGATGACATGGCGTCCCAGTGTTCCATAAAGAACTTCAAATGGTGACTCATCTGACCACAGAACAGTCTTCCATTTTGCCACACTCCATTTTAAATGACCCCTGGCCCAGTGCAAACGTCTGAGCTTGTGGAGCTTGCTTAGAAATGGCTTCCTCTTTGCACTGTAGAGTTTCAGCTGGCAACGGCGGATGGCACGGTGGATTGTGTTCACTGACAATGCTTTCTGGAAGTATTCCTGAGCCCATTCTGTTATTTCCTTGACAGTGGCATTCCTGTTTGAGGTGCAGTGACGTTTAAGGGCCCGGAGATCACGAGCATCCAGTAGAGTTTTACGGCCTTGACCCTTACGCACAGCGATTGTTCCAGATTCTCTGAATCTTTTGATGATGTTATGCACGGTTGATGATGATAACTTAAAAGTCTTTGCTATTTTACTCTGGGTAACACCATTCTGGTATTGCTGCACTATCTTTCTGTGCAACAATGGTGGAATTGGTGATCCTCTTACCATCTTGTCTTCTGAGAGACACTGACACTCTGAGAAGCTCTTTTTATACCAATCATGTTGTCAATTGACCTAATTAGTGTTAATTGGTCTTCCAGTTGTTCGTTATATGCTCAATTTCTTTTTTCCAGCCACTTATTGCTACTTGCCCCAACTTTTTGGGGATTTGTTGACGCTGTGAAATTTTGAATCAACATATTTTTCCTTTAAAATGTTACATTTACTCAGATTAAACTTTTGATCTGTCATCTATGTTATATTACGAATAAAATATTGACATTTGCCAACTCCACATCATTGCATTCAGTTTTTATTCACAACTTGTTTAGTGTCCCAACGTTTTTGGAATCCGGTTTGTACCTTTAACTTTCATGCAGGCATCGAACTTACGTTTCTGTGTCGGACACCAGGGACTCGTTGTTGCACACGTCATTAAAAGTGTGGAGCTGATTCTGAGGAAACAGACACGATGAGAAATAACACACTGTAGTACAAATTCATACAACAAGCGCATGAACTTACCAACTAGGGCTGAACAATTTTGGAAAATATTCTAATTGCGATTTTTTTTAACCTCAATATTGCGATTTAATTTGCGATTTTTTTTTAATGTCTTCTTCTCATACATTTTTCACCAAACACAAGCCATAAACCAATCTGTTTTCAGCTCCGCTGCAGCTCTGTTTCTGCATGTGTAGCTCCAGGATAGCAACTTGGCTAAAGTGTGTGTGTGAGGGCATTCTGCACGCTTATCCACTGTGTATACCAAAGCCATAAACCCTGGCTTGGTCACTGAATTAATGAGCATCATGTCTCTATGAACTCCGTTACTGCTCGAGTTATTTCCGCGTGCCGTTTTGAATTATGTTCATACGGAGTAATACCTTCGAACAGTTCGGCCAGTGATCCCTGTCGGCTGATACTTAGCTTACTTGAAGTTGAGGCACTGGTCGTTGGCATTCTAGCCATGCAACTATTGTAAATGGCTTTGTGGTGTTATTTTAAGTGTTATCCTGATGCATGCTCAATAATCCAGGTAGAAAAATCTAAAATAGTTAAATCTGGTCCTCTGGACATTCAAAAAAACAAAGCAAAACAACAAAAAAATGTAGAAACGTTTCATCTCTCATCCGAGAGACTTCCTCAGACTGAGGAAGTCTCTCGGATGAGAGACGAAACGTTTCTACATTTTTTTGTTGTTTTGCTTTGTTTTTGTTTTTTTTTGAATGTCCAGAGGACCAGATTTAACTATTTTAAGTGTTAATTAAAGATTTGTGGTGTTACCGGGAGAGGTAGCAACAGCAGCACGGCAGGTTCTGCACAACACACGTCGTTGCACAGCATAGTCTTTTTTATAGCCAAAATAATTCCAAACAACGGACGTGCTGCCGCTCTTTGGGACCAAACTTTCAGATGTGTCAGCTTCTGTCGAGCCCGGCACCACTGTGCAACCATTGTGACTTCTCCCGTTCCCTGCTCTGCTCCGCTCACTCACAAGTCACGTAGCCAGATCACGTGACCAGTCAAATTACAGCATTTGCGATGAAAAAATTATGTTTTAGCATACTGCGATATTATTGCTAATTCAATTAATTGTTCAGCCCTATCACCAACATTACTTTTACATGACCCATGATACTGATACAATCGGCAATCAGTAATTTGCTAGACAATCATTTAAAGTTACATGACAAAAAGCAGTCAAGGTTCGAAAACAAAACAGAGCTGAAGCATCTCAGAACAGTAGATTTTACATCTGCCTGTCATTATTAAACCTTTAGAAAACTTTTTTCTAGGACAGATTAACTTTTGGTCAAGTTTCCTGTTCTGCTCTCCCACCTGGAGTCAACACCTCTGGAAGTAGGAGCTGTAGATTTATTTTTTCATTCAACCTTTATTTAGACAGATAAATCACATTGAGCCTCGAAGACTCATTTACAAGTGAGATCTGTTCAGACAGACAAAAAGTAGTGAAACTGGACACATGTAGGAATTGGAGGCAAAACAATTCCTATCAGACTTTTATATTCTGCCAGAGAAGAAAAACTGATTAAAAAACACCTCGCGCAAACAAGCACATAGTGACAGACATTCTGCAGAGGGAGACAACGAGAGCGGTGAGCATGTCCATAGATGCTCTCGAGGTCACTGTAAGAGTTCTGATAAGGATAGAATAATTAGCCAATGTCCTCCGGTGAGATCCATAAACATTCTCGAGGTATGTCGAGGAATGGCCAAGAATAACGTCTATGAGAATCCAAGAGTCCTGAAATGATGACAAGTTTATTCAGCTGGTTCCATCTGGTTATCAGTTGGAAATTCCTCAGGGAGGGGGTGGTGAGCGTCAGATCACATGTTCTCCAGGCGACTTTAGATAAGATGACCTTTAAGGCCAGCCAAGGGAGCCAACTTCAGATAAACACAGTTGTTTTGGGGACAGGCAGAACTTAATTACATCTACCTTGAGTCTGTGTTGGTCCACTCGGTTCCAAAATGTCCAAATTACATGGCCACACTGATGGAACGTGACTGAGTAAAATTCCAGAGATCTGATTCATTCAGCCCAAAGCATTTGAGTCTGGGTACTCGAGGCACAAACCAAGCTATCATAAAGGCAAGCAGCGTGATCGGGTCCAAATTTATTGCCGACGACTTCCTTGATTGTAGATAAAACCAGCAACCAGCCGAATCCAAAATAGCAGAAACCAGTTATCGAAAATCCAATTAAATATGCATCCTTAAAATACACAGATGGCAGCAGAGATAGACACATCATCAAGTCTTCCAGTCGATGAGATATCCAGCTGCGTGCCAACAGGGCAAATCGGCTCACCCAAAGCCTGTCTTCTCCTGAAGAAATGTTGTAAATTGAGTTGAGGGACCAACTGATCAAAACAAGTCCATAATTATGATTCGGAAGATGCAAGAGAGTCTCAGAAGCAGTTTCACAGACAGACAGAGCAGTAAAGCGGTGAGGGAGGGGAGAAGCGTCTGATCTCAGCAAGAGCAAGTGGTGAAGTGAGAGATTGCAGCTCTCTGGTTTATTGCAGCTTAATGATGCACTTGGTCTTACCATGGTTCATTGGTACACTTGTGCACCAAATGACCATGTTGTTTTAACTTCCTGAACTTTTGTGTGCATTTTTTATTTCACTTAGCTGAGTAACTTGCTGTGGCCTCAGGGCATCGTTCACACAGACGGCACACGTCAAATCTTTTTGCAAGCCTGGCTTAAATAAATGAATCAATCAATCAAAAGCAAGTGTCTTTATATATGGACAAGATGTTTACACTACTCCAGAGATATTAAACTGAGATTCTTCTTCAAACTTGGTTCAGTGTTTCACCATGAGAAATGCTCCAGCGTGATCAACTCCAAAAGCTCCAACATCTGAGTCGGACTGGTTGAGTCACGCTTAGGGTGTGGGTGGGCGATATGGCTCAAATACAGGTCCTCCTCAAAAAATTAGCATATTGTGATAAAGGTCATTATTTTCCATAATGTAGTGATAAAAATGAAACTTTCATATATTTCAGATTCATTGCACACCAACTGAAATATTTCAGGTCTTTAATTGTTTTAATACTGATGATTATGGCATACAGCTCATGAAAACCCAAAATGCCTGTCCCAAAAAATTAGCCTATCATGAAAAGGTTCTCTAAACAAGCTATTAACCTAACCATCTGAATCAACGACGTAACTCTAAACACCTGCAAAAGATTCCTGAGGCTTTTAAAAACTCCCAGCCTTGTTCATTACTCAAAACCACAATCATGGGTAAGACTGCCGACCTGACTGCTGTCCAGAAGGCCATCATTGACACCCTCAAGCAAGAGGGTAAGACACAGAAAGAAATTGCTGAACGAATAGGCTGTTCCCAGAGTGCTGTATCAAGGCACCTCAGTGGGAAGTCTGTGGGAAGGGAAAAGTGTGGCAGAAAACGCTGCACAACGAGAAGAGGTGACCGGACCCTAAGGAGGATTGTGGAGAAGGGCCGATTCCAGACCTTGGGGGACCTGCGGAAGCAGTGGACTGAGTCTGGAGTAGAAACATCCAGAGCCACCGTGCACAGGCGTGTGCAGGAAATGGGCTACAGGTGCTGCATTCCCCAGGTCAAGCCACTTTTGAACCAGAAACAGTGGCAGAAGCGCCTGACCTGGGCTACAGAGAAGCAGCACTGGACTGTTGCTCAGGGGTCCAAAGTACTTTTTTCGGATGAAAGCAAATTTTGCATGTCATTCAGAAATCAAGGTGCCAGAGTCTGGAGGAAGACTGGGGAGAAGGAAATGCCAAAACGCCAGAAGTCCAGTGTGAAGCACCCACAGTCAGTGATGGTCTGGGGTGCCATGTCAGCTGCTGGTGTTGGTCCACTGTGTTTTATCAAGGGCAGGGTCAATGCAGCTAGCTATCAGGAGATTTTGGAGCACTTCATGCTTCCATCTGCTGAAAAGCTTTATGGAGATGAAGATTTCATTTTTCAGCACGACCTGGCACCTGCTCACAGTGCCAAAACCACTGGTAACTGGTTTACTGACCATGGTATTACTGTGCTCAATTGGCCTGCCAACTCTCCTGACCTGAACCCCATAGAGAACCTGTGGGATATTGTGAAGAGAAAGTTGAGAGAACAAGACCCAACACTCTGGATGAGCTTAAGGCCGCTATCGAAGCATCCTGGGCCTCCATAACACCTCAGCAGTGCCACAGGCTGATTGTCTCCATGCCACGCCGCATTGAAGCAGTCATTCATGCAAAAGGATTCCCGACCAAGTATTGAGTGCATAACTGAACATGATTATTTGAAGGTTGGTGTTTTTTGTATTAAAAACACTTGTCTTTCATTGGTGGGATGAAATATGCTAATTTTTTGGGACAGGCATTTTGTGTTTTCATGAGCTGTATGCCATAATCATCAGTATTAAAACAATTAAAGACCTGAAATATTTCAGTTGGTGTGCAATGAATCTGAAATATATGAAAGTTTCATTTTTATCATTACATTATGGAAAATAATGACCTTTATCACAATATGCTCATTTTTTGAGAAGGACCTGTATAATATTGTCATATTTCAGAGCATTCTGGCGATAACGATAAATTTTGTGATATAACAAAAAAATAAAAAAATAAATCAGTTGTTCATTTGACAAAATTAACTTAACATGTTGCTTTGCAGTATTATACAAAAACAACAACAACAACAAAAAAACAACAGCTGTGGTGGACACAGCTGAGCTTTGTGTTTGCTGTTATTTTTAGCTAGCTAGTATTGCGTGCGGCGAGCTTAGCATGTTGGTGTTTGCAGTGTGACTCACTGTGATTTGACTGAGGCCAGCCAACCGCATGGTGAGGGTGGGGGACATAAAGTATTTGAAGGCGAGGTCCAGGCTCTCCTTATCGAAGCACAGCGCGCTGTCCAACGGCTCCTTCACCGTGCTCCACATCAAGTCGGCCATGCTGCGGGCCGCACTCTGACGCAGCTCCTGATCCGACAGTTTACACAGGTACCTGCAGGAAGAAAACATTTCCACAAACCTCAGACGGATAACTGAAACACGACGGGGATGGAGCTGAATAACTGATCAGTGTGCCAGGACAAAACAGATGTAACAATACAGAAATGTGTTTTTTCTCAACCGCATACGGCACATTGTTGTATGGCTGATGAAAATCTATTTTACAGCAAGCTATAGAAATGGCCCGGACACAACTTTTGACATGGACCTTGAAGCTGAGGTGATGAAAAGTGTATGTATGAGCTAAAACTAGCATCATGATGAGCACTTTTAAAAACACTAGTGCTCAAAGGAATTCAATACGAGACGCGTCCCAGGACTGAACTAACAACTGTGACACAGTCATGGGAACAACTTTCTTTCAGTTCCAGTTTATTACGACATAAAACAAACGAACTGGTCTTTTCCAGAACCCCATACGACCACCACCCCAGGGCCAGGAAGCTGGGAGAAATGACGACTGGGGTTTTCACCCACAGCCTTTCCAACGATGACACGGTGAAACATGGCGCGTGTTTTTGAACACTTCAGATCATTTTCATGTCACGATGTGTCAAAACCCTCCCAATGAGTCACGTCAGCCTCTGACGTTGCTGCACCCTGACACCATCACATTTACAAACTTTACTGGTGAGACATATAATTGTGTTCACCAGAGATTCTAAACAATAAATTACACAAATTACAGGAGAACACCACTTTTCTGAAAATAGGATTTACAGTAAAGAGCTTTAAATGCAGTTGTAGGAAACTATAGAGAAGTCAAAAACTACTATGTTTAGGAGGCAACGTGCAGCACAGGGTGAACTTTTCAAGATTTAAATCTTCTTGTAAAATTGCTCACTAAAGCAGATATAAATCTATGGAATTTATTAGTGAAAACAGTCAAACATAAAACTAGATTATTCATTTTATTCAGCATTTTGCTACTCCATTAACATGTGTGCTGGATATTATCTGAGCCCTGGAGTCTTGCCAGATGCTAAACATGGTTAAAAGAATCAACTTCAGCAAGACAAAACATTTTAGAGCATAAAACCTGATTTTAAATTTGAGGAACATGCTTTTAGTTTTTTCTTATTCTTGTGTAAAACAAGAGATGCAACAAGGCAGCAGCCTGTCACGTGACCAGGCCTGAGAAAACTCGGCATCCTTTGGCATTACGTGGAAAGAAGCTGGAGGTCGGGGAGCTGTTGCCATGGTGACAGAGGCTCTACCTAGCAACAACTACGTGGCACTTTGGTATTTAGGAGGGAGAGCAGGGATGGGAAAGGTGCAGCGACTGAGCTGGAGGCAGAACCTTCATTTCATTAAACCGTGAACGCTCAGCCAACATTCTCACATTTACAGAACATTTAAAGGTGCAACACACAAAACAAAGTAAAAATCAAGCGTCGAAGGTTGAACGGTTTCTTTATATATGCAGATTGTGAGTGAGGCAGCACGTGGTCAGTCACAGGACAGCAAAGTGTTCGACAGTTTTAATTTAGTCACTATAAAAAGCAGCAGCAGCAGACAACAGATCAAACTGTGCTGTTCACGTCAATTCTGTTGAGTCCTAAAGGTAAAAATCCCCCGTGAGCCTCCTGCTTTAAATAAACATCTATTTGTCTAACTCACCGTATTACGTAGGTGCGGAACGGGATGATGTGCTGCATAACTGCAGGAATGTGCAACCATATTCTTATCTGTGGAAGAGACAAAACCAAAATGATTAATCATGAAAACATGTCGTCACAGAAGACAAGCAGTTTGTCAGGCAACATGTGGTCAGCACCTGCCACCAAAGATCAAAGGGCAGAATTATTTTGCATGTCTGTCTATTAAAACACCTAAAGATTCTAATCAAGCTCAAAATAATCCTTACTTAAACGCATACCGTATTTTTTGCTGTATAAGTTGCAGTTTGTTGCATAAATTAGCATGCCTGTGACTAATACGGTGACGCAACGTATTTATGTTTTTTTACACTTTATTAGACATGTTCAGACTGATGTGACTTACACTGCGGTGCATGTACAACAGCAAGTACGGCAACAATCCTGTTCAAGAAGGCTGCCACAAACTAATCTACCTTAGAAAACTCTAAAATGCCTTAAACCCATTTTTATTTGCAGATATTACGCTGTAATTGGATTTGGTAGTAGCTGAGAGTAATCCTCAACACTTACTCCAAGTACTGACAGAACATGAGAGACCTCATGACGTCGAATGAGCACAACATTTATTCAAGGTTTGACTGAAACGGCTACAACTTCTCTTCTCATCAGAAGTTTCTACATTTACAACGAGCACGGAACGTTTTCAGTGATGTGGACATCTTCCAGGAGTGCTAGGACCAAGAACCTTTTCAAAAGCTTGTTGTCATAAACTTGTTAACATTAGAATAAACAGTTCATGCCTTATCAGTTTGAGTGCAGATTTACCTCACACTTTTATAATCTGGTTATTTTTAAAGTTTCAACCTGGACCAGTTTCACTGCTGCGTCGATGAGACTCACGTTTGAGATGATGGTGATGAAGGCGTGGGCGATGGGAAAGGGGAGGCTCTCTGGAGTGCCCAGCTCAAAGCATTCCTTCATGAGGGAGAGGCCGTGCTTCCCGCAGAACAGACAGACGTAACGCAGCAGGTGAAGAGGCACCTCCACATCCTGGTCACAAACACAGCACGCTCATACAACCATCTCCTCGTGCTCACACTTACAGGAACAACTGGGCACGCAACGCAGCGGCTAAAGAGAAACAGTTGTCGGGGACGTCTCCATCCAACACTGCATGGTCTTTCAAAAGAACAAATGCATCCAATCCAACTTTATTTATAAAGCACTTTTAAAACACCCATACAGGACCAAAGTGCTGTACAGACAAGGTAAAAAACACAAAAAGGAATAAAATACAAGACAAATAATTAACAATAGTAAAATCAACATCTCACATGGCGTCAAAAGCCTTGGACAAAAAGTTCAGTTTTAAGATGGGATTTAAAAACAGGCAGCGAGGAGGCCTGCAGTTTAGGAGCTGCTACAGTGAAGGAACGGTCCCCTCTAAGCTTGAACTTTGTTTTGGACACACTCAGGAGCAGCTGATCAGCTGACCTGAGAGCATGGAGGGGGTATGAGGCTGTAGCAGCTCCGAGAGGTAGGGTGGGGCAAGACCATTGAGAGATTTAAAAGTACATCAAAGAATCTTAAAACTGATCCTAAAATGTACGGGCAACCAGTGAAGTGAGGCTAAAATGGGGGAAATGTGCTCGTGTGTGCATGTGCCAGTTAAAAGACGTGCAGCAGCATTTTGCACCATCTGAAGGCGTGCAGTGGAGGAGCTACTAACCCCCACATCACTAACCCCCACATAAAGAGCATTACAGTGATCCAGCCTAGTGGTCACAGAGGCATGAATTACTGTTTCAAGGTGCTGCCGTGAAAGGATGGCTTTTATTTTAGCTAGCTGCCGTAACTGGAAAAAGCTCGATTTAATAACTGAACGTATCTGACTGTCGAGCTTAACATCCATATCCATTTTCACCCCAAGATTTGTAACTTGATGAACTGGGACAAGAATCCCAGATCTACAGGAGGGGGGCCAGTGGTACCACCAAAACCCATCACTTCTGTCTTTTTCTCATTGAAATTTTAAAAAGTTTAGAGCCATCCAGGATTTTATGGCATCAAGACACCTGAGCAACGGATGGACAGAGTGCAGATCTGTTTTTTTGAGAGGGACATAAATCTGACTGTCATCAGCATAACAGTGGAAGGAAATACCATGCTTCCTAAGTATGGAACCAAGTGGAAGTAAGTAAAGAGAAAATAGTAGTAGGCCCAAGACTGAGCCCTGGGGGACCCCACATGAGAGGCGAGCAGTGGAGGACACAAAGTCACCAAGTCAGACACAAAAGTTCATGGTTGCCTCTGACCTGAGGACAAGTGAAGACACTCGGTAGCTGAAAGCAAGTTAACAGAGGTCATCTGAGGACACACCGGTGCTCTCTGAAGCCATGTATTGATGGGGAACCAAAATCACAGCTCATGGTCTCCGTTTGTGCTGTAGCAGAGGTGGTCATAGACGTTTACTAGTTGGGGGTTTATAAAATTAATGGTTGTTATAGTTGTGTTTAAAAACAAGTTGGTTGGTTGTACTTTTGATGCAGCGGATCACAAATTGGTTCAGTGTGTCCCTAAGAACAGGGAAAAGCTGATGTGCTGGTTTTCTGGGGGCCAAGATGGTGTACAGGTAGGGCAGACGACTTGGGACCAGAAAGTTGCAGGTTCAACTTCCTGCCATGCCCACATGTCGTGGTGTCCTTGAGCAAGACACCTAAAGCCCAACTGCTCCCAGACGCCCACATAGCTGCCCACTGCTCCACCTGGGTGCATCTCTGTTGTGATGGGCTAAGGTCAAAGTTCAAGGGTCTTTATTGTCATTCACAACACATGTGGAACACGAGGTGGAACTAAATTATGTACTCAAGGCCCCAGTTACACCAAAACAGCAAAAATATAAAGTATAAAAAAGAAACGGTGTACAAGGATCTAAGATATACGCTAAACAATAATAATGTAATAAAATAATGTGTATTAAAGAGCAGCCTGAACATCAAAAGCATCATTAAATCATCAAATGCTGAACTAATGTCACCATGACGACAACACGTGCGCACTCTTCTTTACAGACCGTATGTATTCTTATTATTCTTAGTATTCATTCTCTCTGACGGGTCATTTATGAGAAAGAGTTGTTTTATAAGCCTAAATAAAAAACTAAAAATAAAAAACTACCGTACTACCGTAGTTAGGCAAGCTATTTGTTTAGCCTGGATGAAGACTTTTGCTTCTTTCTCCATGTTCTGTGCACTAAGAAGGATGGAGATGTTTAACGGTTTCATTGTGGTCACAACGACAATAAAGACTTATTAGACAGAATTCAAAATCTTACTTCTAACCTACAAAGCCCTCAACAACCTAGCTCCATCTTATATTACAGATCTTATTGTTCCATATTTTCCTAACAGAGCACTTCACTCTCAGACTGCAGGTTTACTTGTGGTTCATAGAATTTACAAAAACAGAATGGGAGGAAGATCTTTCAGTTCTCAGGCTCCTCTCTTGTGGAACCAACTTCCAGTTTCTGTCCGTGAGGCTGACACATTGTCCAGTTTTAAAACTCGGCTTAAGACTTTCCTTTTTGATAAATCCTATAGTTAGGATCGGCTTGGGTTTCCTGAGCTGTCCCTTAGTTCTGCTGCTATAGACTTAGACTGCTGGAGGACAAACTGACCACACTTTTCACTCTGCTACTGTCTTTACTTACTCTGCTCAACCTGTTCTGTATTTGTAATTATTTTTATCCTCGATGTGTGTTTTTGTCCTTCCAATAAAGTACACCTGGACCTATACCTGGACCTATACCTGGACCTATACCTGGACCTGGACCTATACCTGGACTTGGACCTATACCTGGACCTGGACCTATATCTGGACCTGGACCTATATCTGGACCTATACCTGGACCTATACCTGGACCTATATCTGGACCTGGACCTATACCTGGACCTATATGTGGACCTGGACCTATACCTGGACCTATACCTGGACCTATATCTGGACCTATACCTGGACCTGGACCTGGACCTATACCTGGACCTATACCTATACCTGGACCTATACCTGGACCTGGACCTATACCTGGACCTATATCTGGACCTATACCTGGACCTGGACCTATACCTGGACCTATATCTGGACCT